TTGTACCAAAAATGTAATATTGAATAAAGCTAATAATAATAATAATTATTATTATTATTCCTGTTTTGTCACACTCCTGGTAGATTAACATATACTGGATGATTTGCATATCATAAAACATGCTGTTCGTCCCTCTGGTGATAGGGAATTAAACTGCCATGTTGAATTCGACAATGCTTGAATCCATTTATCAATCTAGGCTGAGCCACCATTAAAAACTAGAAGCAACGGACGGCCGTTTAGTATAATACTCATGAATCTCAATGTTAAAACAACTGCAATCTCATGGGACATTTAATGTAGAGGAAAACTGAATGACGTTAAAAACCTTCTATAACTCCGTTAATTTTCTGGTAAATAAATTTTGTTTTAATAATTTGAAAGATACTTCATTTTAATTAACGTACGAATTCTTGGAGGTGTTAGATGCAAACTGAGGATTGGACTGAAGAATTTCTGTCTTAGTGGGTTAGATACGTGCCTTTGCCTGGATGAAACCAAAACAAAGTGATCGGGTAAAATGACTTTTCTGAAATTCATTATAAATTTAAACATACCCTATTACCTAAACAAATATGACCACTCAGCTATTCAGCCAATAATTGTTCAATGAATCAGATGTAAATTATAATAAATACGGAAGTTGCTAATGGATGACAGAAAATTAACGAACGCAACAAATTAATGTTATTCCATCCTGTTTGGATGGATCACGCAGTGATTCGTTCTAAAGATACTATTTGATCGCTTTATAACGCAGAGTGTTTCCAATTCTGGACGAGTGCCTCAATTGACTATCAAAAATGTACAATTCAAGTCCATGCAGGTAACACAATCAAAATGAGGAACAAACCATTTTGGCTGCTGCCAGGTCTAGGTATCAAGTAAGCACAACATGAATGCAGTTCAGGAAGAAGCACGGAAACTTATTGAAGCTGTGAGAAAAATAAAGACTAATAAAATACAAATATGACCAACTCGAATGGAATCAAAGAGAATAACAAAATGTACAAGTAAAAGAACAACGATAGGAACAAACTACAAATGTATACATGGAAGGATTTTCACACACACACACAAAAGTTAAAACTGGATCTTACAGGAGGTGTTATTCCATTCAAAACATCAGTGACAAATATTGTGTAAACGAATTATTCTTTTTAAAATCAACATTAGTTAAAGAGAAGTGTTAACAGCAAAATTCATCAGTTTAGAAACGTTTATTTAAACTGGAGGGATGAAAGCTGTGATACTTTACAAGACTAGTTATTTCACACTAAGAATGATGATCTGAGTGCTCATTATGGAAGCGGTTATTTCATCAATATGAGATGTGTTGTCCAATGTTAATATCCGTCGTTAGAACATCGCTAGAATATCACTCACTATATGTGAATGGGTATATCCATCTGAGAATAGTGTTATGCTTCGAACAACCTTCCATTGGGGAAGTACCCGTTCAACCTTAAACTCGTTGTACTTATAAAAGAAATGTTGAATTCTCGGTTTGGATATTGCCTGTGGCCCCTAGTAATGTAACAGTTATATATACGTTTTCGTAGACCTTCGATTGTGAAAAGTGTTTGTGAAACGATTTTATTGAAAAAAACGGATTGAATAGGCTGATGTTAGCGTTCAATGGTGCCTGACTTAATACTGAACGTTCAACGAATTGTTATTGTACTTTACTTGACAGCTTTTCGAATAACGATGCAAAGGTTTTATCGAGAACACAATGTGAACTTCAGGAGTAACATACTGTGGAAATATTTCCACAGTATTTATAGATAAAATATTTCAGTCAGTGGTATGAATGTAAATGCAAACCGAAATATCACCGCAAGAGTCGTCATGAAACAAACATTTTAATTCTTCACATAGTCTGTAAAAATGAGTACAACAAACACAATGTGTGATGTTTTGTTAATGAAACTAGATGAATTCCAGGATATATGATTTTTGATTGAAATCATGGACTGATAAATGTTGGAACTGTATTAAATATCCGGAATCACTCAGCAGCCTGTTTGTTGTATTACGAGACCCCATTGGAGTACCTATAGAGAATCATGAAAGCAGAAATCGAATCTAAGACCTTGAGTCTTGCGCAAACGTTTAGTCTCTTGCCACTGAGTAGCATCCTACGGTGTTCACGTCTAACTTCAACCGATTCACGACATTGTGCGACCATCTACTATTGTTTTGGGTAGTTAACTGCCTCACACTGAACACAGTTGAACTCATCTGGAATGAAAGACAAATGAAGTCAGTAAGATTCAACTGACGGAAGAAATACAAGCGAAGTGTGGCATGGGTGGTTTTTATATTTTATGAAAACAGTCTGTGATTGTGCAACTAAAAATTAACTGGTCATTCGCACCTGAGTTCTCACTCACTACAGCCACAGTGCCCAGATATCGCCAAAGACTGGTCCACGATACCAATTGACAGGAAGATGTGACTTCGATTTGGGATAGAAGTTCACAAAATTCCCACCCAACTCGAGTAAACAATGATCATCGATGCAGATAACGAAACGATGATGATCTACATGTTGATTGTGAAGAAGTGAATGACCAAATAAATTCTGTGATATAGACATCTATAAACTTGAGTGATATGAAAGATAGAGGAACATGCACATTTCTCAGTTGTTGCAAACATTTTGTAAAATCGAGTGCAAGATAAAATTGAATATAGTTTTCCAATGAATGCTGAATGAAGTTTACCTCTTTTTTTCATTATTGTTGCTGGTCGCTCATCCCTAAACTCCAATCCTGATATTGCAGGGAAACCTTTAATATAAAACACCTAATGGGAGCACAGTCTAAAAACTCTAAGGATCAGCATCTTTTATTAGTCAGATTACATCATGTATGGTGAGTAACCCATCGATCCTGGCAAAGCATACCGGAAATCAACGTTTCAGAGCACAATTTCAAACTGTGGTGATAGTCCATATTACATATCTCAAGTATCAACGAAGAGAGTTTGTACGATAAAGAAAATCAGAAATAAATAGCGAATAACAATGAAGAGCACCTGCTAGTTAACAAATTGTGTAGAGGTTTGTAGAGATGATGAAAATGTAAATGAAGCTTATCGCCTTATATCTGGTCCAAAATCATTAATATCAGCCTAATATCCAAGAGATTCAATACCAAACACATGAAATGAACCTTCATTTGACTTGACGACAATGTTTTCTCAAGCAGACTACGAAGAAAGTAGTATGTCGCAGACTGTGAGATATTTTATGAAAACCATAAAGATTGAGATCATCCTGACAAATGTCAACACTTTTAAGATCACCGACTACACTATGGACCACTTCATGAAATATGGCTGTAGAATAACTTAAACCAAATGGACGGGAATTTTACGTGAATAGACCACGAAGATTGATAGTTGTTGTCAAATCTGATCAACGTCTATCCAGAAGAATCAGAAAAATGACGTACTTCAAATCGGCCCCACTGCACATTTTAGAATAATGAGCTTCACTAAAATATCCTCAGCATCACTTGTGGTGTGTGTTAGTTTCAACAAATGTGAATTCAGCGTTGACGAATGAATTCTTATCCATTCACAGCACTTAACGCAATCAGCCATGAAATGTTTAATCAAAGCATCGCAATCTTCTTTGAAAGCTATTGAAGGCAGGTTCACTTTGTGACTTTGTAAAGTCCAATCTTTGTCTAAAATAACGAAACTGTATACTACGTTTGCCAACAATCGAATTATGGAACGAACCAAGAGAGGTATGTAATTGCCCATTTATATGGAAATGAAACCTCGAACATTATGATTAGATGTGGATTATTATCACCAAGAGCTCCCATCGTTTTTAAGTTTAATAACCGTATTTGCAATCATTATTAACGAAATGAACAGTATTTATCATATTATTATAATCTGTCAACTTTTGTCACGTTTCAAGCATGACATTTGGGAATGCAGACTGCCACAGGTAAATATTTATCATGTCTGTGTTCGCCCTAATATATATTACATTGAACAAGAACATTCGAACACCTAATGCAAATGATTTTTTGTCGACTATTTCCTCATACATCCATGAGAATAGGATCGGTTATTAGCCAAGTTATGTTTAATAAGTTGATCAATCATTGACGCAAACACTTCAGTGTTTTCATTTTTTCAAATATCTCGTCTTATTAACAATGCTACGACAAAACTGTTACAAGTTCATTATTCACTCTTAATCTTTTGTCATTCCTACTTGAGTATCAGCTAAACCCTTTAAGATTATTTCATATTCAACACATTCATAACACCTAATTAACAACAGTCTGTCAACCAGCTTCCACTCAACATTGAATAGTCAAATAACGGAAGATTAATGTGCCTTGATAAATATTGATGCCGCATTCCAACACTTCAGTTTAAATCAATGAACGACAACAATTTCCATTGACATTTCTCAGTATTGAGACTTTAACAAAATGAACATTTACTACGGATTCATTTTGGATTTCAATGGTCACATAATCATGTATACACGATACTGTTATTTGACAAGTGCAATGTTGTAAACTCTTGTGAAATTACCCACGTTTTCATCGAATGAAAATAATGACATAAATACAAAAAGAATATATTTTTACATTCTACCAAAAAAAGTGACATCAGTCATTACATAAACAATCATCAATGTAATATTCAGTTCCATGAAACCATCTTTAATGAATTTAAATGATTAACAAAACAGAAAGTGTATTTCATAAAATACAAAATGAAAATATATCAAAGTCAACTTGATGAAAACAATTGACAAGCTCATTGTGGGGACTATGCATAAACTCTCTTCCTTCTGTAGAACCATAGCCAAATGCCACAGGCAATGCATAAAATAAGGAAACATATAACTAATGGTACAACGATGTACACGTATTGCAGTGATTTTTTTTTCTCAATGTCTACAGTTGTATCTGTGGTCATGTTCTGAAATGAACGAAATAGTATAATGATTAAAAATATCAAATATTTACCAAATGTGATTCAGTGTTTGGGCTAGTCTTCTTCAATTCATTTCTTAGATCAGTTTCAGTAGTTGCTGGTTCAGTTGTTGGATCAGTTGTTGTTTCAGTTGTTGGTTCAGTTGTTGGTTCAGTTGTTGTTTCAGTTTTTGGTTCGGTTGTTGGTTCAGTTGTTGGTTCGGTTGTTAGTTCAGTTGTTGGTTCGGTTGTTAGTTCAGTTGTTGGTTCGGTTGTTGTTTCAGTTGTTGGTTCGGTTGTTAGTTCAGTTGTTGGTTCGGTTGTTGTTTCAGTTGTTGGTTCAGTTGTTGGTTCGGTTGTTAGTTCAGTTGTTGGTTCGGTTGTTGTTTCAGTTGTTGGTTCAGTTGTTGGTTCGTTTGCTGGTTCAGTTGTTGGTTCGGTTGTTGTTTCAGTTGTTGGTTCGGTTGTTGTTTCAGTTGTTGGTTCGGTTGTTGTTTCAGGTGTTGGTTCAGTTGTTGGTTCAGTTGTTGGTTTGGTTGTTGTTTCAGTTGTTGGTTCAGTTGTTGGTTCAGTTGTTGGTTCGGTTGTTGTTTCAGTTGTTGGTTCAGTTGGTTCAGTGGAAACATCGACAATCGAGCTCTTCAGAAGAAAGAAACAGTGGAAATATAATTAAATATCAAATATTTCATCATTCATTATACACCATTGTCAGTATTGATGACACAAGTGAATTCAACAATTAGTTACATAATTTACATTTGCACATTATGATCAATGAATAATGATTTAGAATATCTGCTATCGATTTTACAATCAATGTGATTTGTACACATTATCCAACATCTAACTGACGACTTTTGTTTGAATGATGAATATTGCTGCATGCTGGATGTCACATTTTATCACAATCTATACATTATTCAACGAACTTATGACTGACGGCTTTATTGAAGCAATTCATTCAGGGTATACATTTCTCAACAATGAATCAGAAATACTTGTTCTGTACTTCAACAATGGCACTGCGAACTTTCACTTATTATCCAAACATGCTACACAATTTTCAACAGATTACACTTCATCATTCAAACTGATTTCATCTGTATTCTACAACAGTTCACGTAGGTATACGGTTTCATAATGAACATCGGGAATCACTACACATTCTATGAGCTAAAGAATTAACATCTTTCCAGGCATTAGTGTTTAACAACTTTTCTATTCATTGTTGAATGTCCACATGGAAATAGAGTATTGCATTCATATGTGCTTCAATATCGTACAAGTTACTTAGAATAATGCACTTAGGGTACAATAGTAAACACTACTAATTCGTAACAATACAAATGATCTTCCAAAAAATGATTGCAATTTGGGATATCGTAAAATTAAGAACAATTTTTGAAGTCTACCAATTGCTTACTTCTTTCCTGCAACCATTTACTTTGAAGTCATGAACAAACTTATCATTGCTGGTAATGCATATATTGGGTTTTTCACACCAAATACACGTTGTATTTGATGCTGTTCCGCCTTGACATGCTTTAATCGAATTGTGATTCGGACAATCTTCAGTGAAAGGAAGAAGTTGATTGCATTTCAAGTTATTAATCAAAAGATAAATGAATTACAAAACATGTAACTGTTACTCAATGATGACGATTTCAGATTTAAATTAGTATTTCATTCTCTGAGCACTTGTCATCACATTGCTCAATCTAAAATTCAATACACTTTCAATGTTATTCACGTTTCCCGAAAACGTGTTGGAATTGAATAAAATTACGTTGCATATTGAGCGATGAAATTTGTCAGGCGAATGTCACGGATGTCAATGACTGTTAATAATAGAAAAGAAATGTACACGCAACATGGTTAACGGATCGCTTTCGTGCTTTATGATTGAAATATTTCGTGTATACCATCTTTGCATATGCAGAATGGAGAATAACATTGTTATTTCACTCTAACTGACTATTTAGAAGCCGGTGCATGAACATCAGTTGTACTCAGAGAGAAAATTTATTTTCTATTATGGTAATTTAATCAAACAACAAAGGATGAGTGACATTGATACTCAATTCATTGTTGAGATTTTCCGTAAAGAGATTTCTATCAACCTACAATGATAGAAAGTTTCAAACTATTTGGCAACATTCAGACTGATATCATCTCATCCATCGTCCTGCGATATTTTGTTTAACTGAATTTCATCAAACTGAGGACTTCTATTGTACTTCAAAATGTGTCTGTAATCATTTTAAATATGCAACAGTGAATCGTCGTTTAGTGTAACGTCAGTTGAGACTGATGGCTTGATATCATTTAATAACTGTCTGAAATCATACATGAAATTTCCAGTTTTATGAAACAAAAGTGACGCATCAAAGTGTGAAAATGGTTAACTCTCATAAATAACGTTTGACATACCCCCAAGAATTTCATATTCCACAAGCATTCCACTTTTCATCCATTCCTGATCAGGACGTACAATTATAGTTTTCCAATCTAATGTGAATAATTGCACAGAAGAAGACGCTTAAAATTCTGATTCGCATTTTGGATATAACGTGTTTGTTTGTTTAAGAAACGATCAAACTGTTTAATATCTGATTACAGATACAATGATGGTCGGAAAACATCTTTATGAAATATGCTCTACATCGCTTAAGGTTCTGAAAGTGACAGTTGTTCAACTACTAAATGAAAAATGGTATCGGTAAATTCCTGATTTGTTTTACTAAGGTGTCAGTGCAACATCTACGGAAAAATATTTTTATCTCGTCACAAATTGTATCACAAATAGTCAATATTGAGAGGCTGCAAGTTTGACCGTCTATTAGTGTGTGAGTGAATAAATGAGTAGATATATTGTCTGTCTAGTATCCTCGTTCATATATTCCTGTCTGGATCGTTTAGACTATACAGAAGATTTCTCCAAATGTATGTCCGCGAATTCGTGATGAAGATATTCACACATCTTAGTTATATTACTCGGTACACCGAGTTAGGCAAGCGTCAGCTGAAGTGGATCTTGAAATTCTTTTTGATGGAGCTTAGCACAAAAAGATAAAGCAATATGATTCCGATTTAATCACAACAACTCTAAGCTGTTTTGTGATATCAACGAGGATGACGGTTGTTGAATTGAAGATACAGATACTTTGTTATCAATTAGAAAGACAAAATGTTTACAGGATGAGTTTCGATTATGAATTTTTATTACGTGTGACACATGAATCTTGCTTCAAGATTTCCAAACACCAAATTGACGTTGGATTTTCAATTAATAGTAACATTAGGACGTTGAGTTTGCCCAAATTATTCAGTTTTTATTTCATTTATTTTTTCTAAGCACTTCAACGACACTTCCATCAATTTATTGTACAAACAAAAACAACTGAATTCTGTAGAATGTAAGAAACACAAATTCGGTCACCATTATAAATTACAGAAAATCTTCACGTTGACATAGTGATGATCGTGTACAATCAGAAGGTAACATCATGCTAACAGATGATTATTCATGTAAGTTAGTGTAAATTAGGATTTAAATAACATTTGTTACCTTTCCCACACCAAGTATAATAATCAAATCTCGGTTGAAGATTGATTTTTTGAGGTCCTACAGGAATCTGAAAAGGAGCAATAGAAGTCCGATTCAAGATGTGTCAATACACAACAAACTATATCGAAACCAACCAAACATTGAAGTAATGTGTCGTCATTTACATTATCTTATTCAAAGACAACTAATCACACTTACAGTAAGCATACTGATCTCGGTTCCACAAGATATATACTCCATCTAATTTACAAAGATATTCTGACTCATGTCAGTTGACAACTTCAGTGAAGTTAGATTAACGATCTATTTATCATGGAATGAGGCCGTACATTGTAAGATGAACATCTACGCCCGTTGATAGAAGTGTGATTGTGAATGACTTCAATGTCGCTGAACGTGAATTTGTTGTTCTGTTGTGGAATTGTGTTTATGTGCTTACTTATATCAATTGCCGTTCATTTCTCAACAACATTCATTTCAGAGTTTATTTTGACTACCTCGAAATAAACAAGACGGATTCATCTCACTAGCCATTTGTAGTCATCCAACATTTATTGTATTGCAAATCGATAAAGTTCTAAATAGTGACATTCGAACAAATACAATCTGATAAGCGATCAAGATTTTAACAACATCTCTCTCTCTCAAAATATTCAATTATGAACTTTTCTAACAACCGGTCTGTAGAAAGCTGGAAATGACCGTTCATGTACAGAACTCTAACATACACTCTTCGTCCTTAATTGGCTCGAAGGCATCCGAATTCGTTTACATATTACATCACTTTTTATTGTTCATTATTTTAAAAAGTGCTAGAATAAACTGTGTCATGAACGGATTATTACTAGTTTCACAAAGTCTGTATGCACAGAACAAAATGTTGGTGTCCTTTCATCCTCTTCAAAATATTTCGATGTATTTGACAGTACTGATATGCATGAAATAATAGAATAATCAATTCATTTGCTCAGCTTACGTTCTCATAATAGAAATATGCCTTCCCATTCGAGTGTATCAAGTAGATTGCCGTGATTGTGCCACCTGCTAAAAAGAAAACTATCTATATTTAAAATTTCATGGATTAGTATCGAGCATGTCATGGCTAGATGTGACACTGTATGTGCCTACACGCACAGAGGGATCAGATTTTAGCAGATATTTACTGTGCTATCTCAAATGTTTTCGTGATGAAAATAATCTCTTGAATGTTGTGTAAATGAAATAAGCATGTATCCTTCATAATGAACGTCAGATGCTTAGTTTGCTTAGTTTTCACATTCAAACAATTATTCACCTAGATTCCGATTAGATCTGATAGTTGCAGTGGTACTCAAACTGGTGGGATAATTACTATATTTCGGCTGATACGATCGACATGAGCTGCGGTTTGTTTGCTTATCATCCGAGTTTTAGATTTTATTTAGTTATGTAACGCACTGTTATATCAGTCGATCTAATGACATTGTCCACATTATTTGTTAAAGTTGATGAGTGAATGCGCCTAAAACATATCGTTTTAACGATCTCTTAATTTGAAAGAATAAAAGTTAAGAATGATCGTGTAATGAATGAACATTCAGATGAATGTGATATATACAGAAGTGATTTTTTGATGAACACATATGTACATATTTTTAAAAACAGACGTTTCATCATTTGCCTATTAAATGTGTCTACAAAGGAAATGTGATTATGACCTAATGTATCCAAATTTATGTACATTATTCTTTAAGTTTCAATCAAATACGTATCAACAATCAGTGGATTCTATGTGTATTTAGCCTCTGACTTTGTAGAATGGTTACACCTTAATACTTCTGTTAGGTTTTAGGAAGAATTCAATTACTCAAACTGAATAGAAAACATTCGAGTAATTACAATCAATGATGATGTAAATGTTAATAGTTCACATGTTATCAAACAATCATTGATATGGATACATACTTTCATTATCAATGTCTGCAGGACAAGACTTTCTGACAGCAAAATATTCCTCTGAAATAATGAAAGCAAAATACATTTGCGTTCATGTATCTGTATAATGAACATTCACCTCTATCAATAAACATAA